CAGTCGCGGTCAAAATAATGAGGGGTTAAGGACATTGATTCCATTTGAAGCCGAGTGGTACACACTGCACGTATACTAAAAGATTCTTGTATGGAATGTTGATATGTTCAAAGAAAGGTTGACAAAAGAGGTGGAGGACATGCTGTGAAACGTGATAAGGTGGGTTTCAAACTTGACATACAGTACTAACCCCTGGGCTGTACCAGTTTTGGGGAGGGCGGGAGAATCTGAAATTTGACATGACGTTGTATGTTAATGAAACTCAGCAGGACAACAGCAAGGATGCTTTGTTCTTTAAAATGCCATGATTTTGACAGGACAAGCTTCGTTTTCCCTGCCAAGGCCCCTTCTTAACCCTAACGGTGCTGAACCCAACAAGCTAATGCAGGATTTCAATAAGCCTACGCCTACTTACACTTCTTGACAAAGTATGGTTTCTTGCCCTGCTTCACCAACTCCTTCTCTTGCCTTTTGAGCTCCTTACTGATCTCCTTCTCTCTCTGTTTTTTAATCCTCGCTTTTTCCTGTTCCTCCTGTGAAATAAATCACTTGTGTGTTGAAGGCTTTGTGTTCTTTCCAACTTAGATTTTAATATCCATGATTTTAATAAATAAAGATTTTAATAATAATAAAGTATGCATTCTTTTAACTACAAACACTATTCTATGATAAAGTTTGCCCACAATACTGACAGAAATAGAATGGAAAGCAACATATTGTAAGAAATTATAACACCAAGACGTTACACATGATAATAAGAACAGAATCTTACAGAGTGCCAATATTTTCTCAAAAGTGCAGACTACACTGGCTCAGGACATGACTTGTGGCTTGCGAAATGTACCAATATCAAAATGTTACTACAAACCATTCTTTGAAGTAATCTCAGTAGTTCCTCCTTCTTTTGCTCAGTTTTAGCCTGCTTAAGCTTTCTTTTCACTTCCTACAGGAACAAGTCCAAATAAACAGACAACATGCAGGGTTAATTTGTGTATCAGACACCATTTCAGACTAGAGGACGTGGAAGTCCACGACAAATTTCCATGAAAGTTTCACAGAGGAATTGTCATCACATAAAGACACCTCACGCTTCAATGGTTGCCTTTAGTTTTGTAAAGACAACAGAGCTATACATAAAACTAAGGTGCTCATGTTTCATTCTCTGCACAGAGAAAATTTGACGCTGTCCTGGGCGCAGACATTTTGAACCCATGTACATACTTGTAGAACACTAAAATCAGATAGATTGAATATCGAATAATGTATTCTCCATGCAACGCACAAGTACAGCATATTCAAATGTCAGAGCGTCTTTTGAATGAGACGCACATGTACAGAGCAATGGTTTCTCTAATATTCGACCAAGGTCATCTGCTTTTGTATCCATTTCTTTCGATGGCTATTGGCTGATTTTTGTTTATAGTACACTTTTCAATGTTGTGTGCTGTGATCAATCAGTTTGTAACTATGTCTCAACCTACAACCAGACACTCCTTATTTACATGTACATAGTCTGTGACTGTGCTTACCTTTTTCTCTCGACTGTACACACCACCAAGGAATGCATAGTTGGAATCAAAAGCCTGCTCATTGAACTTTCCTGAAAGGTCATCAAAACGAGGATCCCTGCTCACCTAATGCAAAGGTTGAATGAAAAACAGTCAGCTATGCTGCACGCCTCGTCACATCTAAAGACTAAATCTGGAGTTGTACAGTAAGTTTCTGGATGTTTCAAGCAAATATGGTACACAATCGTAAACATGTACACACACCAACAGTGACATACAGTCACAAAGAAGAAAGAAAACAAGTCTGGTTAACCACAAGTGATGTGACTACTACCAATCCCTTGCATATTACAGACTGCCTTAGACATGACTGACAGAAGGACATAATTTCAAACCTAGGAATGTCACAGTAATGTTTAAAATCTTAATTTAGGAAGACAGCATGTTCCACTCGTGCTCCTTACAGGAAAAGGTAAATTCTCAGTAACACACAGAGTTGACTTTCCACCGAGATATTTCACAAGAAAGAGATTCCAACTGGCTCTACCAAATGTAATAAGTACTTTTAAGCACTTCCTGCCGGGGATTCTGGATCCGGACACGTATGCTTTATATGCCTGGCTGGAGTCTCTGAACTCGAACAAAGGGAACTGGGTGTTGTAACAAAAGACCGTACTCTGAACAAAAGACCAGGCTGCTGGCCATTACCGACTTTTTCACTCTCAAAAGTGGAGATAATCCAGCCTTGTTTTGAAACAGTATACTACGGTTTGGGGCGTTTAGAGTGAGTGGATTACCACTGGGAACAAAAGCACTCCACCACCGCAGCGATGAGCCACGCAGCACCGCTGCACGCTAATCTGGCCCCTATTGAAAAGAGGTCAGCAGCGCACTGTGGCAGGTTTGTGAACAAAAGAAAGTTAGATAACACCGCACAATCTGGGGTCTTTTTACAAGGCTGAAGGCCTGGCTGAAATACTAGATTTTGTCTGTCAGGCTAAAGTGGAGACCAGACAGTTCTTCATGTGGATGTAAGTGTCCAGTAAATGGTGACAGGAATTTTTAAGGAATTTCGAAAATAGAACAAAAAGGTAAATATCCTGGACCAGCATCATCAACTTTGATAACTGCCCCGGCAGGAAGTAGTTAATGCTGCACTTACCTTCTGCTTCACAGGAACAACATTTCTGACTCTTGATACTGGGATCTTAGAGGAAATTTCTTGAGGTCTACAGAGTGGACAAAAAAGTGAAAAGAACTATGATGCCTTGTATAATAAGTCCGAAAGTAAACCTTCAGCTCTGCTTGTCCATAGCAATACCTTCCAACAAAAACTAAGATATAACATCAATGTCCTGTCAAATATTGACAGTTTTTGTGGTCAAAGTCAGAAATTGGTGAAGGATAACACATACAGCTTGATATGTACATGTAAGACCTCACGTTTTCTCATGTTCAAACCAGTTCACATGCAACATTTAGGAATTCTGTGAATTGATCTGATATGCAGTGCACACAAAAGTTTGTTAACTGGGTACCATGTCACATGATCAACTACAAGGTCATATGACAGACTTTTGGCAGAATGCATGCCTGCCCGCTTTGTCTTTGACGGTTTTGTAAATTACAACCTGTTTTCTATGTCCTTCTCTCTGACCTATCACAAGAATATCGCCAAAGTCTGTAATTGTACCTATTTTTGTTGGCCCGTTTGAATTTCTTTTTTCTTGAGTCTTGTTCTGTGGGTTTGTTAGTCTCTCCTCTTCTACCACCAAACAAAGCTTTGTCATAACTGCAAAAACAACAAACAAATTTGCATAAATCACAATACTATGTGATATTGTTCCTTTTAAAAGTAGTTAGATCGTGAAAAAATTCTGTTAACTATTTGTAAACTCCATGGCATACACATGCTATTTTTGGAGATATTGTTTATCACCGACTTTAAGCCTAACCCCCTGTGTCTAACCCACAACCTTCACTCATGGCATCCTTCGCAATTAGTCATGCACTTTTGCCATTTACCCTCAATCCTCCAAAATCCTCCAAAACCACCTGAAGGATTTTGGAGGATTGAGGAGGGTTATGGTTAAGCAAATGAAATATGCATGCTGCAGTTTCACTGAACAGGTATCAGGCAGAGTTGTGAGTCACATTTACCACCATGAGTCAAATCATAAACCAATCACAAAGTTTTTTGCACAACTAATTAAAAGGATAAAGAAAGACTAACATTGTAGTTAAAACAATATATAACCAATATATATTAACAATATCTAATCAATATATACATGTACAGTGGAACGCCACTATAATCAACACGACAGGGTCCACGCTAAATGTTGAGTATAGCGGATGTTCGGTATAGTAAAATTAACTGCCGAACGTTTTGTTGTCATGTTGAACAGCGCCCTCTCCTGTCTAACTGAAGTGCGCCCTCTTGTGATACCATGCTTTGCTGTTTTCCTGATGTTTTGATGTTGCATTCACATTCAAGGTTTCTAAACTTGCAGCAGAAATGTGATGAAAGCAAAGATGTGTACTCAAGCACTATAGCCAGCAATGTGGCAGCTCCTTAACCTCCTACCCAGAACTAAGTCTGGTGGCAAGAGGGGCAGGGAATCCAACGCCATTATTCCAGAAGAATTTTCCACTCTTCAAAATCAACTTGGGACAAGCTTGGCCACAAGGTCGGACATACTGGGCATAATTAAGTACGCCTAATTTTGGGGGCGTAATGAGAGACGCCATCACTACCAAGGAAGGGGGTTAACTACCAAAGCTCCAGCTGGCACAAGACCAAGTTCTTGTCGGTACAGATTGGCAAAAATGCTTGATAATGTCTGGGCTTACTGAGGCCCTCGGGTTCATCGTCAATACCAACAAATCTGTAACCGCACCCTGTCAAAGAGATTAAATTTCTCAGGTTGTGCTAAATTTGACTCATATCACCGTTTCTCTACCTTCTGCTAAGGCCAGTCATGTTCTTGTCATGATAACAAAACTGCTTGCAGCAAACCTTCCAAAAATCCGGGTAGTTGCACAAGTAATAGGTCTACTGGTCTCTTGTGAGACAGTGGTACCTTATGGCCCTTTATTCAGAAGAGTCGTGGAAAATGAGAAAAATGCTGCCCTCTTAAAGCCAATGGTACTTTTGATTCGTCAATGACTTTGTCCAACCTTGCCAAGATTTAAACTGGGGGAAAATCCATTTGCCACATGCTTCTGCACCCATTCATCGTGAGCCTCCGACATTTGTGATTGAAACTGATGCCTCAAATGTTGGCTGGGTTGCTAACTTTAATGGGCAGATCATTGGCAGGAGATGGTCCGGTGAAGAGGCCACTCATCACATTAATTATTTGGAATTGCAGGCATGCTTTCTTGCCCTTCAGTCTTTCTTCACAAATGCCAAGATCATCATCGCGTCATCGGGGCGTTCAACCTACGACCAACAAAGCCGAGATACTCGGCTACATGGGATGTGACTGTGATACTAAATTACCTCAAAGAACTTGGGCTGAATAACAGCCATTTCCTTAAGGACATGACGATGAAACTTGTCACACTTGTGTCCTTGGTTTCAGGACAGCGTTGTCAAATATTAGCATCCATGAGTTTAAGTAATGCTCATCCTACTGTCACTGGTGTGACCTTTGTAATTTCTGATTTGACTAAAACCTGTAAAGCAGGCAAAGCCCCTCTTAGAGTGACTTATCCGCACGATGTGAAGCTTATCCGCACGATGTGAAGCTTATCCGCACGATGTGAAGCTTATCTACACGATGTGAAGCTTATCTACACGATGTGAAGCTTATCCGCACAATGTGAAGCTTATCCGCACGATGAGAAGCTCATCCGCGAGATGTGAAGCTTATCCGCACGATGATCTACTTTGTGTAATGTGTATTCTGAAAACTTATATACAACGGACACAGCCATTTCAAAAAAATTAACAATACTTATTTCTCAGTTATGTGTGGCCTGACAAGGTTGGAGGGGTTGAAACGATATCTTGGTGGATCAAATCCACTCTTAGGATGACGGGTATCGACACTGGGACCTTTAAGGCCCATAGCACTCATTCTGCAGCCTGCAGTGCTGCGTTGCGTCATGGAATGCCGCTCGATGTCATTATGAAATCAGCTGGGTGGACGCAGCTTTTCACTTCTCACAAAAATGCACTGAGGAATACCCACTTCAGGTGCAGTTGTATAGTGGGGAGACCATTTGTGTAACAATGGATCCTCTCAACTGCGAAAAAACATACCGGTGACAGGTGCAATCTCACGTAGGTCCTTCAGTTCTAGGTATAGACTCGGTAGAATTACAATTAAACTTCAATTATGTTATATGGCATTTTGTTTAACTTTTTAAACAAACCAATATATAATAACAATATACAACCAATATCAATCATTGTTAGTACTAAATCTTGTCAGCAGGAAACAAAAGTGATAATGTGTCACTCCACTCACATTTTGCTCCCTGCAAAGACCCTCAGACATTCTGTAATAAACAATGCGGTCTTTACTTACACTTTGGACCCAACTCTTTGCTGTAACTTCTGAAGATCTTCAAAGGGAACCTCTGAGAGTTCTGCAGAGTTGGACACATTCAATAAGACTGTCATAAAGATTTTCAGGTTAGAATACAGAGTATTTTTTTTTACAGTCTCTTAAAACAGTGACATAAAAAAGCAGAATCTATCCAAAAAACCTGTACTCCCGGTGTCTAGTAAAAACGCTGATTTCTTTCTCAAGAAAATGTTCAAATATTTCAGGTCATATTTCAGGTATCCATTTCAACATATGGAATGCTTTGATTTAAATCCTATCTGTACAATACCTTTCCTCATGAGATCCTTGAAATGGTGATGACACATAACCAATAAATGTGATGAAAGTATCGGTGCATGTAGGCCCATAGTTCACCATGCAAGAACAAAAGTTGATTTTTGTAAATAGCAATGTGGACAATTGATGATCATTTTCTTAGATTAGACAAACAGCACTTAGATTTCTGCAGGACAATCACCAATTTGTCTGACACTACATTTATTTTACAAAGGAGTCAAATATTGTTAGACTTTTCAAAAACTTTCGGATGCAAAGCTACATGTACTTGTATTTCCTTTCGTTATGGAGAAATTAAGAAATAAATTTGAGAACGACAGCCTTCTTTATAAGATTCACATTCACATTTTGTAAATTATAAGGATTCGTTGAAGCTTCTCTGATTGATAGATAGCATCCTAGACAAGATTAAATTAAATCTGGAGGAACCCGAGCATATCAGTTAGCAAGGAAGACTTCTTTCTTTACTCACCACTGTATCTTCTTCTGTTTCACTTTCTTGATCAACATCTTCCTCAGAATCTGAGGACGATGGGTCTTCAGTCGACTGCATCATCATTTAGGATGCCCTCAGCAGATTCACGGATTGAACTGAAATACATAACCACATACCACATAATATATCGCTTTCTTCCTCGATAGCAATGCATCTCTTTGTCACTTAAAATAATGAACTGAGGCATAGGCTACTTCCAAGTCAGTTGTCTCTAGCTACACGCACACGTACATATATACATTTGTAGGTCTAGAACTTCGTCCAGAGGACATATTCGGGGCCACTACGGACAATCCGTAGATATGGAAGTCCATTTCGGACATTGCCTCAGTAGGATGAATGAAGAAAGACATTTTAGCATGCACATTTAAGGGAATGCCTTCTCCAGACATTAGTGGTTAAACTAATTAACATCAAGAATCAACATGACACAACGTGTCAAAAATCTGATGCACTTTGAGGCTTCAGTGAAAGTTATCATCACCAGGACTTTCACATTTCCTATTAAACAGCAGCAAGGATGAAATCCCATCCAGATTCTGGCAGGAAAATGAACAGTTTCATAAAGAGTAGAGGCCGCCATCTTTCTTTTCTTGACCTGTCTCGTGAAAACAAGATGGCAGCTACAGCAGTCAGGCTGTATGAGTGGCAGTGTACGCCGAAGTAGCTAAATACATGGCCTCTCCAAATGTACACTTATCGAGAGCCAAGCCTTCCACAACTGATGGGGTCTCCATAAACTTAACTACTGGACTTAACCTGAGATTCTAGGCACCCTTTTTTTAAAACTGGGCAGAACCTGAACAAAGGGCCATGCAAATTTGATATAATAATATATAATAAAAAAAAATTGAACTCCCTGAGTGAACTGAGTACAACTAAAAGGAGTGTAACAAAAGGATATGTGGCTGACTGGACTAATCTACGTCCTCAGAGTGGGGAAACTGGGCAGATTGTACCATGTACATGTAAGTGTCTATGTATGAGAAGGTGGGCAATAGAGCTAGTACAATAAGAGGGGCCCACGAACTGATAAAAGGGCATGTACAGTGTTTTTCCATAAACATTATGAAGATTGATTAAAAGTATTTGAGGCAAATGTTTCTTTACATTTTGTCAGTTTATTGCAAGTCTGTATTTTTCTATTACAAAGACTTTACCTTTTGGGCTTGTGACACACAATGTACATGTATTAACCACCACTTGACAACAGTTTGACTTGGGCTTTGATGAAACCAAACAAACCAAGATTCAGGCTTATAATGAGCACGCATGCACGAGTGACAGAAGTCACTAAGTCTGAATGCACTGATGAAAATGGGATCGGGAACCAGACTATGGCCTTTCTTTTAACACGTGCTTGAGCCTGAGCTCAGGGGCGTTTTCAAAATGAGTGGATTAGGCTGATTCCAGCCATTTGATCTAGCACTCAAACTGCATGCGAGGCTCTGACTAGAACCAGCGAAACTGAAAACCAAGCCTAACCCATTGGTTGGGAAATGCACTTAAGTCTCATACCGGTCACACTCTGGCTACGAAGTACATTATTATGTGCAGACAGATTCTGGTGAACTCGCCTTGCTCTAGACACGTGTTTTGCGATCAAGTGTCGATTTATGTGGCATACAAAGTGACCGACAGAGTCTATACTGAAAACTTCGTCTCAAATTGAAGTATTTATTTTCCGATGAATTTGTGGACCTTTTTCTGTTTTTTTACTGCATTTTTCAAAAATGCAATACACACACTGAGCGATAAGATACTACATGTACTAATGGGCTCTTCCAAAACTTTGGCCAAAACTTGGCAGCAACTTAGATGTCTCGATGTGGAACAGCCGTCAAGATGATGAGAGGTCAAGTGACGTATTGTTCAACAACATTATTTTAAAGATGGCGACTGAGAGAGTGAGCCTGTTAGATTGAATGGATAAAGGCAAACAGACTGGAAAATACCTCAATAACGTGAGTGAAATCATTCAATAAATGGTTTTTGGAAAGCGGAAAGGTCAAGGATCATGTTCGTGTGCAAAAGAAATTGCGCCCACGATGATAAGTGGGTGCGCTGGAAATGTTCAGTATACCGACACGAAATTGCGCATACGGATGTGTGGCTAAGGATGGATCGGGAGTGAGAGTCCTTGCCACACTATTGGGGCTACATTGTGAGGTACCTCAAGTTGAAAAAATATGCATATAAAGATGTATTAGACTGTAATGTGGGCCACAGAGCAAGGACATGCATGGAGGTAGAAAATAGCTGGCAGCTATCATGACTTTCAGTTGGCCACGTCCTGCATAAAGGGCTGTGATTGAAGGCCCACACATTTGGCTGTCCTGATTAATTATTACCTCCAAAAGCCATCCTACTTAATAATGAAATTAATATGAGATGTGTTGTCTTATATAAATGCTTATCCTGGCCTGATGTTTGAAAATAGCTCAAGCGTTCCAAAGGGAAAATGCCACAAACCATCTCTCCCCCCTGTGTTTTGGAAACTGTCTCGGTGACGTGAAACTGAGAAGTTCTGAAGATTGCCTAAAATAAATAAAACGACTTCTGGTCAAGTGTGTTGGAAAAACAAGACTTGTCATACAGCGGTCGCTATTTGCAGAACTGGCCAATTTTTGCTGAACTGGACAAATTACCTACCTGTGAAAAAATTCGGTAGCATTTGTCTTTCAAACGACTGCCCAAAACTGTTTAGTCTCTTAGGTAACTGGATAATTTGCAAATATTTATGGATGGATACCTTTCTACAAATGTAAGTTTTGTACCGCCAGGAGCCTCACTCTCAGAGTCAGACGATTTGCATTTGCAGAACCGGACATTCAACTGGGAAAAACAAATAGGCCTAAATCAAATCAAATGTCAAGTGCCAACAATAGAAACTTCAAACTGAATAGATTAAACAGAGTAGTTTGCCGCACACAAAGACGTGAACCTGACAAGATTTTTATGAGGAAAAAGCGGCCAAACGCCGCTCGTGCAAGTCGTGTACTGCTCTGGTGCGTACAGCAGGCTGAAATTGGCACGAAATTCGGGCCGGATTTTCGGCCAGCCTGATTTTCGGCTGGACGCTATTTTTACGGCTGCAAGCAACCCTTCACGTAACCGGCTAGAAATTCTACGGAGGCCGATCATGGCATAGCAGAAAGAGCCCATAAACTTCCACAAACAAATTACAGAAAAAAAAAAGAAATGTTTAAAAAAAATCGTTCGCTGAAATGTATCTTAGCTATGAAACAACGTGAACAAAAAAGACTCTTTTTCACCAGCAGGAAACACAGACGGAATGTGTACGAAAAAACACAAAGCCTTCATGCAAAATGGATGAGGGCGCTAGTACAGACAATGATAGCCCCAAAATAATACCTTCGCGAACGGGTTTTCAATTTGTATACTGTCAATTTCTCTTCTATTAAGGAAATTGTAGGCATATGAACTCCGTGATTTCGGAAGAAGCATGGAATTTAATGGCAGAAATACAAAAGAGTGTCGGAACTTATTTAGAAAGTGTGAAATGCGAAAAAGCAAAAATCGAAATCGCTCTATAATATTGATTTCAGGAGTCAGGGCACCCGATTAAGAACAAAGACGGGGAAAATCGCTTTCTGGGCTGATATCCGTTTTTAAACGAGTTTGTACCATCCTAGATTTCAAAAAAGTGTGATTTTCTCTTAAGGAATGTGTAGGGGGGACCCCTGGGCACACTTAATTAGCGCCCCGAATGATTCGGCCCACAGACTGTCTCAGCCCAATTGATTTCAGGAGTCAGCACACCCGATTAGGAACAAAGACGGGGAAAATCGCTTTCTGGGCTTATA